TAATAATTAAGTATTCTGTTAAAACTCAATGATTATCTTAATTATATTTTAGATTTTATATATTTAAAATGAGATGTTTATCCTGTATTTGATTATGTTTATCTGCAGTTAGTTACACGAATTCAGATATTGAGCTTTAATAAGTTGTACTTACGCACAATTTACTTGCAATCTTTAGTTTTAAGTAATATGCATTATTAAACAGTACTTTACGTATAAAAAATAGTTTTTAAGAGTTTTTTTATCAAATGTTTTATAATATAGTATAGATATGTAATGGTTATTTAAAATAACATATTTTTCTAAAATTTGTCTTAACAAATCCAAATTTTGTAATATATATAAGGGCAAAATGCACAAAATAGTAATCTAATTTTATAAATTTCTTTATTATAGCATTGTACTTTCAGTTTTTCTTATTACAACAATCTACTTTCAAACTATTTTTATTAGAACATTGTACTTTGAAAAATTTACCCATTATAGCATTGAGTAATCTTTTGATTTAAATTTACCCATTATACCAGGTTTCCATGTCACCTCATTGTCCACGTAGACTGCCACATGTACTATAGTGATGTGACTTTCTTATTACAACATTGCACTTTCTAAATTATTTTATTATAACATCTACTAATATGTGTGCGCGTGCACGTGTGTGTGTATGTGTGTGTATGTATGTATGTAAAGATTCATTTGAGAAGTGTTAAGTATTTAAGAAGTAAAAAAATGATCTTAAATAACCCTTTATCTGGTAAACATTTGTGGCTTTAACCGTGAATCATTGGATAATTCCTCGCATAAGTATGCAGAAGATAAAATGGTAGTTTTGTAACTTTAATAAATAGCCTACAAACGGGTTTATATGTGAACTCATGTGATACAGATATAAGTTATATGTTCATTTGTGAACCCGTTAATTAGTTCAATGTGAACTATTTAACTTATTAATACGTTTGACATTTTAAAATTAACTTATAACTAACTCATAATCATGTTAAAACACAATATAAGAGTTAAGGGGTCGTTTACCAAACACTTACCCGGTAAGTGCTTACCGGTAAAATTTAACACTATTATTTACTTACCTGGTAAGATTTTAATCCACCAAAATGACATCGTATGCAATAATTTACCCGGTAAGCGCTTACCGTGGTAAGAGTCGTTGCCCACACTTACCGGGTAAGACTCTTGATCCTTGTCTCACTCATACCGGGTAAGATTCTTGGTCTGTATCATATTCATACGATGATGTAAGAGCCGTTTACCTAAACACCTACCCGGTAAGCACTTAACGGTAAAATTCAACACTATCGCTTACTTATGTGGTAAGATTTTATTCATTAAAACGCATCGTATACAACAATTTATTCCGGTAAGCGCTAACCATGATAAGAATCCTCGTCCTCACTTGCCCGGTAAGACTTTCAATTCTTGCTTTCGCTCTTACCGGGTAAGATTATTAGCTTTTGCAATATTCATCCGGTAAAGTAAAGTGACTTGGTAAGCGCTTACCCGAGTAAGCGTTTCGTAAACGGCACTGTAACATTACTTGTTAAACATGTTACTTGTTAAGCGCTTACCCGGATAAGCGCTTAGTAAACGGCCCCTTAAACTCTATTAATACAACAAAATACTCTTTCGTTATTTTAAAACCACATAAATTTATGAAATAAAATATAAATGTATTCGAAGACACACTTCTAATATTTTAATAAAAATAAGTATTTATAATGTTATTTAACAGAACAAAATTATAAATATAAAAAACAATCATTTAGAATAAAATAAATATATTACATTTTCTTTAAATATAGGAAATAATAATTTAATTTCATTTAAATAAAAATAAAAATAAAAATAAAAATAAAAATAAAAAGAAAAATAAAAATAAAAATAAAATGAAATTTAAGTTCCCCTCCTGGGTGCTTCTTCGTCGGATCTAAAGCCAGTTCATGAATCCATGCATGCCTTTTACTTAATATACGAATTTATTCATTTGAATTCTAAAATTCCAATTGTTTCTGCATTTCGCATTTGATCATCGTTAAATATTGCTTTTCAGGAGCCACAGATCCTCAATTATGTCATTTTTCAATTCCATTATGATTCTAAGCACCATTCTCTTGTTCAGCTTCTATGGGAACTCCATTTTCGGCACCCGTAACCGCCACATCATCAATTTCCAGTCACCTGACTTTTTCCCGGTGTCATTTGCACGGGATCCGACCGCCAAACGCTTCATTGTCAGCTCCTCCCGCCGCCCATCCCTCATCTCGGTCTCTGACTCCGGCATCGTCACCACTCTTGTTTCCGACCGCTCCCTCCCTGCCGGCTCCTTTTTCCCCAATGTCATGGTAGATCCGATCCGGCAACGGATCATCGCCACCGTCCACTCCCGCTCCAATCCGTCTAATTCCGCTCTTGCAACCTACCAACTCCACTCTCCTCACCGCCGTCTCTTCCTCGCATCCCTCCACGAACCGGACGCATCAGTGTCCGCCCCTGGTGCTGCCGGAGTTGCCATAGATTTCTTCGGCAGCGCCGTAATCACAAACTCTGCCAGCAACTTTATCTGGAATGTCGGTCTTGAAGGCCGACATTCCATCTTCTCATCATGCGAGGTCTACACGGACCACCACAAACCTCATGGCCCTTGTGGGCTAAACGGCATTGTCTACAATAGCAAAGGACACTTTCTTGTCATCCAATCGAACACCGGTAAGCTATTCAAAGTCGATGACGAAAATGGAGTGGCTAAAGAAATCGAACTAAACATCAACCTGACGGAAATCCGGGCCATTGACATTAAAAATGACGGCGTCGTTCTACTGATGTCAAAATACAAGTTATACTTCCTCAATAGTGAAGACGGGTGGAACAAAGCGAAAGTCTTTGACGAAGTTAGACTTGATGCAAAACGGTCTCCAATCTCGGTGACGGTTGGAGGGGAGGTCGTATACGTTTTATATGGGCATGTGGAAGAGGGCATGATTGGGAATTCACATAGGAACCACTTTAGCATAGTTGGGATCGGACCAAAGGCACAAAGAGACTTCACATGGATCGTATATATGTTGATCGGGTATGGTTCCGTTTACTTCTTAAAATGGAGTTCAAACGCACAATGAATTATCACAAACATTTCTAACGTATTCATGTTTCCATCCATGTATCATAAACAAAGATAAACAAGTATCTATAGAGTTTTTAAATCCGTGTTTCAGCTTTTGTTTGGTCGATAACTAAATAACAAGAACATGTTTTCGGAAAGCAAACAGAATCATGTGTAAAAGGTTTGAAGACGTTACAGCTTTTGGCAACAGATGGGTTCATGTAGAGCCCTGCAGGCTGATCCCAGTGCATTATCTAACAAAAAAACCAACCACGGCTGCCCAGTATCCAGCCAACTGCGTGAACCAAACGAGAGGTTAAACATGTTTCAAGACTCGAATTAACCAACCCGCTAAACCAACTACAAGCTAACCTGCGCCAAGATGCCATTTCCAGTTTGGCCTTCAATGACCAAGCCTGCTGTAAGGCCAAGCATAGCCCATGCTCCGTTAATGGCTTCAATTTGTCGTCTCCTCTGCAACAACATTTTATTAAATACATGATCCCGGTACGAAGATGGAATCTGTAGCTAGGTAGATGGGAGGAAGGGAGCTGGAGAGGTAGAGGGTGGGGGTCGCACCAGTGAGCTGGCAGTTAGGTTACTAGTATGTAGTTTTTTTCGCTATTTACTTGTGTTTTTTGGGGAAACATTTTCTTTTCACATACTTCTATTCGTCATGGAAAGAACTGAGGTTAGGTCTGCATACATCCAATCCCCGAGATCCTCCTAAGGGTGGGATATATTGGGCTCGTTTGGTTTGGTTTATGCAGGTAGGGAGAATAAACACAACAGCAATTAGCTAAACAAAACTTACCTTAAATGATTGTTTTGCTTTAATGGCTACCATTTGTTTAGCGGCTAAGCGCTTGGCTTCAACAGGATCAACCATGATCACCTCTTTCCTTGACTTTCCACTTGCTATCGTAACCTACATATCCAAAAAACACCATTCTTAATCCAAGCTATATTCATTTATATATATATATATATATATATATATATATATATATATATATATATGTATATATGTATATGTATATATATATATATATATATATATATATATATATATATATATATATATATATATATATATATATATATATATGTATATATGTATATGTTTGTTGATTGATTCATGCTATCAACAATGGAAAAACAAAGATTTTTCAATCACATGCTTGCTCTTAAACTAACATAAACTGCAAATAATACAAACCTAATTATCCTCTGCCTTCTTATGAGGATAAACATACCTAAAAAGAGCATATTCAAACCAGATATATATATATATATATATGTGTGTGTGTGTGTGTGTGTGTGTGTGTGCGCCTTAGTTATGCATACGTTAGGATTAGCTACAGCTACGCGAAATGATTCGCCTTTGTTTCTACGAATGCCCAGTCCTGAATCAATCTCTCTTCTCAAACCCCATCTGGAAAAAATCAAAGAGAAAAAGATAGAATTTGTAAATTTAATGTACCTTCCAACCTCAGAACCATACATATTTACATCTAGGAGTATATGTATATATATATATATATATATATGTGTGTGTGTGTGTGTATCACATTTTGACCAATTTGCTTTCTAGTAGGGTTTGAGCCATTTTTTATGCATGTTTGTATCCTGCAGATTTCTGATTGTCAATTCTTCAAATTTGTGATGTTCTAGATCAACTGTCTTTCTAAATTATGAACTGATAAACTTACCTTTATACAGTGAAACTTAGTGAGATGCTTAAACACATGTTTATTCAAGTATATCCAACAGAATGAGTTGATTAGCACCATCAGAACTTTAACATATTCTTTAATCTATTCAATAATTCAATATCTTTAAAAACCCTAGAAATCCCTTTCAATTTCATCAACTGGGAAACTAGTTCTTTGAGTGTAAATTCTTCATGGGCTAAAAAAGACATAAATCGACGAATGAAGCAACAAACTTTGATCAATGGGGAATTGGGGATTGTTAAAATTTACCCGATTGCTGTTGCAGAGTGTCGATTATTGGAGAAAGATGAAGACGATGGTTTTTGGAGTAGGAAACCGCCATTTGCAGGCCTCAGTGAAGAAGAAGAAGAAGCCATATTTTCTGCTCTCTATCTCTCAGCCACAAAGGGGGTTTTGTAGATTGATATCTCTTCATCATCCAAATACGAAAAGAAAACTGAACCAAAAAGAAAGATGTGGAGCTTGGGGATTTAGAGTATATTTTACACTTTCATTCCTGCACTTCAGAAATATCCATTTGGAGTCCCTGGACTTTTAGAAAAGGCATTCTAGAATCTTTCTCCTGCTTCATTGCTAATTTGTTTTTCTAAAGCAGATCTTTTTGTTTCTGCTTCACAAACATGGATCTGAACAAGCAGTTTAAATGCATTCTTTCAGTTATAAAGTAAAACAGATACTGTTGCAAGTCACAGACCATTTCTTACACATCAACTGACAATTTAACTTCCATTAAGTTTCACTTAGAAGAATGGGTCAATTTTGTTCTTCAACACTTCATCCCTTTCGTGTGTCATTTAGCCAAAATGGATCTTTCCAACAAGAAGTTTCGTTACTTCCTAGAAGGAACATAACATTTCTAGGAAAGTATTTATTTAACAGGAATCGACAGTTTCGAAGATGGATGTATAACGTCTACAGCTAGGAAGATTTATCTTCCTTATAGTTCATTCTGCATTCATGGTAAAAAACAGTAAAGAACACAAACACAAGAACTTCCAATAAGCATGTGAACCCAATAACAAAAGGGACTTCTATAGGCCACATTGCCCGCTCTTCAAACATCATGGAGAACGCGACAGAAGTTTTTTCAGCAAGAAGACGTGCGATATAACAAACCATGATTGCCAGAAAAGCTTGAATTCTTTTTCCCTTCATTAGCTCTCCGGCTCTATCGATAGCTTTAATCCCACTCATACCATCCTCTAAAACTGAAACCACAATACTCATCACCGAAAGAGCAGCCACATGTGCACTCAAGATCCATTTTAGAATCACTGTTGCAATAGAGAACGTTGACATACTTGATCTTCCTGCCAAAATGGAAATCACCGCCACAGAAAGGATGTAAACTAGATTAATCCCCAAAGTTAACAACAAAATGCAACCGCCAGTTACAAGTGGTCTTTTCCAGTTTCTAGATACTTTCAAGAACACATCTACGATGGTTAAGGTATTCCCAGTGTAGGATTTATACGAAGAAAAGATTGTAGTTATAGCAACATAGAAAAACAAGAAACAGGAGGAGAATAATATATGAAAATTGGTCAGCAATTGCTCATGAAAGTCTGTGGTATAATCTTTTCGCGTTACAGTGCCACCCCTGTGGTTTGAGATTCGAATCCGAAAGGGTTGTTGGAGGGGTTCCAAGTGATATCTGGTGGCCATTTCGATCTGGATGTTTGTGAAAATTAGTAGGCATAAGATCACTGTCATAGCTCTCTTGTTTGTAAGTATTGTGTTCATGGTTTCTGTAAGAACTTCAACCATGCTCAAAGGCTGTCTGAGTTTCAGAAAGGAGGTTTCTTGGTTCTCCATCTGTGATTTTTAGTTTTCATGATGAATGATTTGGAGTTTATATAGTTTGAATTTAAAGCAATCAAATTGGTGGATTATATTTGTCCCCTTTGATTCTTCAAAAAAAAAATGTTTGTCCCCTTAGGAAAAGAGCGATGATCACAATGTCATATTGGACAAAATCGAAGACATGAATAAAAAGTCAAGGGCCGTTTACCAAACACTAACCCGGTAAGCATCTAGCGGTAAAATTCAACACTATCATTTACTTACCGTGTAAGATTTTAGTCAACAAAAAATGGCTTTCTATGCAACAAATTACCCGGTAAGAGTCATTACCTTCACTTACCGGGTAAGACTCTAGGTCCTTGCCTCGCTCTTACCAGGTAAGATTCATGGTCCTTTTTATGTTCATACGATAATTCCTCAACGACGGTGTTAGGAGTTGTGGCTTCCTTTTCTTCAAAGATATCAACTTCAATTTTTAGGAAGGTGTTTTCGACAATTCTTTTTTGTTGACGTTTTCCATTGTTTTCATAGTAGTCACCAACTTCTGAAAAACGCACCATAGCGCATTATAGCGTCAAGGCGTGATCTTCCCGCCATGTTAACCCCTTGGCGTGGAACTCGTCATGGCTCGCCAAGGCAATGTATGGTGTTACAAGTGATGGCGTTATTAGGTGTGTGAGAAATTTGAAATTTTTATAACTTGAATAAGTGTAAATTTAAATATAACTTTACAGTTTATACGGTCCAAATACTTAATCAACAAAATAGGAAAAAAGAGAAAAACCTAAGTTGCTTCTCAGCATACAAAAAATATTGTTCAATTACTTTCATTTGTATGTTGATTTCATCACTTTGGTTTTGATGTTTGATTACCAAACAGAAACGTAAACATTGACTTACTTTGTATATTTGCTATTATTTTTTGTAAACTATGTATATTTGATATCAAATTATTAATTCATGGTTATTTTAAAATTCGTTCTTACGGATTTATAACATTTTTGTGGTTCTCATGTGATTTGTCCTACACACACACACACACACACATATATATATATATATATATATATATGTATATATATAGGATATATTTCAAATACAACCATGTCCATTTGTACAACCAATGCAACCCAATTAATTGAGATATTTATGGAAATGATGAGAGTCCATTTATTATGATTTGAATATTTATGGAAGATGAATAAAGTTCATTAATTATGATCAATACTTTATATTAGGAAACAATCAAAACTTCTATGAAATCACATATTCATMAAACTAAATGAACGGTTGAGATTGAGTTGTATTGGTTTTACAAATGTAAAGGGTTGTATAATAACCAACTTCTATATATATATATATATATATATATATATATATATACACACACACATATATGGTAGATATATTTGGGAAGAACCATGAATTGGTAATTTGGTGTCAACTATCAAATATACAGAGTTTACAAAAATGATATCAAATATACAAAATAAGTCATTGTTTATAGTTCATGTTTGGTAATCAAACAACAAAATCAAAGTAATGAAATCAAAGAACAACAAAATGAAAGTAATCGAATATTATTTTTCGTATATTGAGAAGTAATTTAGGGTTTTGTTTGTCTTTTTCTTCATTTTGTTGATTAAATATTTGTCCCGTATAACCTAAAAAAATTTATATTTACATTTACTTTTATTCAAGTTCTAAAAATTGCAAATTTTTCTCCTCGTCCTTATAACATCATAACACGCCATGGCAGACCATGATGAGTTCCACGCTTTATATCCATGCCAAGGGGTTAACGTGGCGGCAAGGTTGCACCTCGATGCCATGGCACGCCATGTCGTGTTGTTTAGAATATTGGTACCAACAGTACCTTTATAACATGTGTATGAACTTCTTTCTAGGAAGCTCAGGCATAATATATAAAGTTGCAACCTGTTTTCAATTACTCCATCCATCGTAGAGTAAATTGAGTTTTGTATCTAATACTATTGTATTGTTTCATATTAAGGGGCCTTTACCCAAATACTTACTCAATAATTGTTTGTCAATAAGATTCAACGCTATCATTTACCTTACAAGGTAAGATTTTAGTGTGTTTATCAATTGGTGTTATAATTCTTTCTTGTTATTCTTGAACAACCAAATAAAATACACGATTTATTGGAGGCAAATGATCCATTATGAGAATTTGATCTCAAATTTGAGCAGAAGACTCGTTCAGGCGCATAAGGAAATTCAAAACATGTTCCATTTGAAAATATTTATCAGTTTATTTGACTCCTCCACACTCACACTTGTTCCATGAACAATGAGGCTTAAATTGGCTTAATTTATCACAAAAGACGACTTGCGGTGAACATATACCACATAAGCAAATTAATTTTAAGGTAGATCTTCATCAAGTGATATTCTACCGTATTCGACACTCCCTTGTAGCTCAATCTCTTCACCATGATTCCTCTTGCACTCGAAGTATAGAACTGTGTATGCCTGAAATACGAAGATGCCTAACAAACACATACAACTCGTCAAAAAGAACTCAAGGATTGCTCGAGTCAACTCAGATTGTTCAACCACGTTCATCTTTGTTGACAATTGAAAGAAAACAAATGATAGAAGAGTAGGCAAAAGGAAGACAAGAAATCCTTCTAACTTCTTCCCCTTAACAAGTCTCTCGGCTTTTCCTAACGCCTCAAGTCCAGAACATTCTTCTAACACCGAAACCACCAAGGATAGAACCCAGACAATCGAAAAGTATAGAAAGAGGATTGAAACAAGAATCACTAGCACCCATATTGTCACTGCTAACACAATCTTGTGCATAGGAATCATAACGGTAAGAAAGATTAACGCCATGAAACCAAAGATCAAAAACCCGACTTTCATAAGTGTTATGTGAAAACAAGTGATGAATAGCCTTGTCAATGCTTGTAGAACCCTTGTGATCAAATCTTTAGGAAAGATTTTCTCATCTTTGTAAGAAATTCCGGTTAGTAAAATAATTGCCACTTGGACAAACATAGATGTTATAAAGAAGGCTAGAATGAAAGCTAGTTCGACACGTAAGAGGGTTTTGACATCTTTCTGGATAGTATCTAGAACTTGATAGTAAAAAGGGCCTTGTGGATCTAGATACGGTAACTCGGTAGCTTTTGTGACGAAATCGGATATGATTGGTTTGATGGTAGAAATGTTCAAGAAGAAGAAAAGATTAGAGATGATGAGGTAGATTGAGGTTACCATAGCCACAAGTTTGCCATTTTTTGACATAATCTTGGTCGATGTCTTCAAGATATCAAGAAACCCTAAAAATTTATTGAACGTCATTGTGCTCAAAGGTATTTTGTGTGAGAAAAGATCCAGAAAATGTGCACATTTTATATTGGTTCAATTTAGGTTGTTGGTGGAGAGAATCTTAATTGTCAAACATATACCAAATTCAATTAGGATATTAAAATTAAAAAACATACCAAATATTTTCTCTTATTTAGAATTTGTTTTGAATATGTAAGGGGACGTGTACCAAATGCTTATTCGGGTAAGCGTTTATCAAGTCATATTCCCTTACCGGATGAATATGACAAGGACCAAGAATCTTACCAGGTAAGAGCGAATGCACGGACCGAGAGTCTTACCGGTAAGTGATGACGACGACTCTTACCACGGTTAGAGCTTACTGGGTAAATTGTTACATATGATGTCGTTTTGGTAGACTAAAATCTTACCCAATAAGTAAGAGATAGAGTTGAAATTTACCGTTAAGCGCTTACCGGGTAAGTCTTTAGGTAAACGGCCCCTAAGTTACTTGATCTATCACTGAAAATATTTTATCAAACTAATAATTTCGATAAGCTAATTGAAGTTTATAAGAGAAACAAGTGACGGAGAAGTATCAAGACTTCAATTACAGGGTAAGAAATGCTTACAAACAATTATTTTGATGGTCAAGACTCAAGAATATTAATTACCTGATGAGGTAAATGAGACTGTCAGCAAAAACGGACCTAGAAATTTTTCCAAGTGCTGACACCTTTTGACTATAAGAAACAAATATTTTGATATTTTTCTCTAAATTATCATCGGTCTGTTGGTTAGTTTATTGTTTTTCATATGTGAGGTTCTGTTTTTAAGTCTTTGATTATAAGTTTTTTCAGAACATAATAAATTTGAAATTAAAGGTTAAATACTAAGAAAATGGTTCTACCAACTTATGTACTCATTTTAGTTTCAAAATACATACGGTGACAATTTTCACGACTCTTTAATTTTTTACACTACGACGGGTGGACGAAGCAGTGGCCAATGCCACCATATCCAATACACTAGGTCCCTGACTGTGAGAGACTGAGAGTGGTGACGTGTACGTAGTGTCAACATTTACCCGATAAGTTTTTAGTAAACATCCCGTCAGTTTCTAACAATCGAGTGTTGAACCTCGGTCATCAAATTGACTCAGGTAAATACTAGTTCGATTAAAGGTTAGCGATATCTCAACAGTTGACATTTGGGTTTAGTTGACTTGCCTCCAATCATTCTCCTTTGCAACTCGCTGGCTCCATGGAATTGCATGTTATGCATCGAGTCGAATCTTGAATTAAAAGTCAATATTTGCTTTTTCAATTTATAAAAAGAAATTAATTACTTAAATTAATTATTTCATTTGTTTCTAAATAGATGCTCATATTTAATTTGTTCTAAAATAAAGATCCAATTTAGAAATATATGTCTACGTTTTCATGAATTTTTTTTTTTTTTTTTTTTTGTCTTTGCTAATGGAAGTGAAATTTGTCTTTACTTAATTGAAGAATATAATAATTATATTATAATATTAAAATTAAGTGTAACTTTTATATATTCATAGAAGCAAGCAGACTGTAATAGGTGGGAATCTTGGATTCTCCCAATGGATGTTATATTATTAATAAAAATTGCATACTAGGTTGTTATATATATATATATATATATTCGATGGGTCATATAATGTGTGTACCAAGAAAGTCCTTTTTCTGACTAAACTATACAATGGTTGGACAAAAAAATATTACAAAGTTTGTTGTCATTGTTTTATAGTTTTTCAACAAAAATATTAGAGTAAATTACACCGTTGGTCCTTATAGTTAGCTTAGAATCTCGATATGATCTCTCTCTCTCTCTTTTGAAATGAATACACTGGGGTCTTTATGATTTGCATTTCGTTCCGTTCTAGGTTTTTTACATTAAGGGGTCGTTTACTAAATGCTTATCGAGTAAGCACTTTAAGACAAGAGTCACCACTTTAATCTACCTTATCAGGTCACATTATCGATCATCAAAGTGGATTAATGAAGTGTTTACTGGGTAAGAGTCATCACTCTTACTTACTGAGTAAGACTCTCGATCCTTGCTTTCCCTCCGGTATGTTTATCAATCCGGTAAGGTAATTGAATCGGTAAGCGCTTACCAAGGTAAGTGTTTAGTAAACGGAACCTAACTCTCTTGACTCCAATCCATTAACTCATGGATATTTTTTTTCATTTTAGTATGATCTTTATCTTTTTCATATTAGAAATCATATTCATTTATTATATTATCCACCCACTCTTTTCCCTCCCGCAACAAGGCCCTTTCCTGGCTTTTTAAGGTCTTGGGCGAGATTTGAAAAGAGGCCCTCGATAAATATAATATTTTTTAGTACATTATTTTTATCATCATAAATATTCCGAGTATTCCTAGACGCACAATCAATCAATAATCATTTCTGATTAATATTATCTACTAGAACATTTTTATGTAGAATTGTCAATTTGTTCCATCATCAAAAACATCCTATGCTATATTTGTGGTACATATAATGACATCATTTGGGGTTACAATGTTAATTGTTCTGATTTTCGAATAACACTATATAAATCAATATAAATATGTTGATTTTTCATGTCACCTTATGTTAATGTTTTTTAACATCATTTTAAACTTTTATATTACGTTCTCGAATTTGGGAAGAAAAAAAAAAGTTTGTTATTTGTGTTTTTAATAGAGAAGAGAGGGGAAGGAAATATAATCAAATAAAAACAAATTATGATATTATTTCTTTTATCCTTTCTTTTTATTTTCCTTTCCCTAAAAAAAATCTCAAGAACATAATATTTTTCTTCCCTCGTTACTTTCCTTTCTTTCCTTTATAAAAGAATACCCAAGAACATAGTGTTAAGGTTAAAACAAACTTTATGGAATCATCAATCTTATAAGTAGGAAAACTCACGTTGGTTATAGTTTGAGATAAAAGAGTACATAAGATTTATACACTCAAATATTAGATAATAAATAACAAGTATGAAAAAACAATTATAATTTTATTATTCTAAATATATATATAAGTTGTACCGTCTTACATAATTGATATTTTTTTTAAAAGATGGAGGTTTTGTTCGCTAATATTAATAACAAGAAAATCTACTATATTCTAAGACAAAAATGGAATTCATGTGGAAATGAAATAATCAAAAGAGTCGATTGGAGATGAATTATGGATAATATATCTAAATTTTCAAGGAAAGTAGTTTTAGACGTCAGTATTAGATAAAAAAAAACTTAGAGAAACATTAAACAATTATATAATGAACGACAAATTAACTTTTTTATGTATTTTCTTCTTCAATATATTTTAATTAAAAATGTATGAACATTTAATAGTTAATGTAGTACCAATTTTGTTGTCCTATTAGATACTATTTTTTTTTATATGTCTTCTATTTACTTATCTTTTTAAACTACTAATATATATACTTTTAAAAAAAATAGTCTCTAACTTTTGTGACCCTCTAATAAATTTCACCCGCCTACCTACAACCTACGTCTTCACCACCCCATATAAGAACCTGCGACATTCCTTTGTGTTTGATTTTGTGGTACACACCCAACACAAAAAATAACCACATGCAACTCATCCCCAAAGAAAATTACCTACAAGAAAAACCCCATCTGACCTACAAGAGTTAAAAATTAAGATACTTGGAAAAAAAAAACAAGTGTTTAATCTCGTAGTGCTTATATAGTATTTAATATATTTATTTGTAGTTATTGTACTAATTCAAACATGAAGTTTTAATATGTTGTATTTATGGTTAATCAACTTGTAATCTTGATTCTTGAGTTTTAAGTAACATGCATTAATAAGTAGTATTTGATGCATACAAAATAGTTTTTAAGAGTTTCCTAAATACTTTATAATATAGTATAAGTAATCAATATTGGATTTCCCTTAGGGTGCGTTTGGTACGCAGACAGGATAGGACGGAACAGAACAGGACAGGACAACTGTTCAGCGTTTGGTAAGATATGACAGAACTGGTTAAAATAACCAATTTATCCCAAGTGAGCTGTTTAGTGTTTTTTTCTCACTAAATAATCAATATAAATGTTAACAAATATAGTGTGCAAAGTATAACTTACATCAAACCACTACTACATGCAAAAATACATTTACAAAAATACATTTGCAAAAATACATGACTTCATAATCAACTAATATAAGTATCAATAATTCATTATTGAAGCAAATCTATATGCATTCCATACTAAGAAGAAAAAACTACTACCAACAAGCGCGCACAATCAATTAAAATGGATTAAATATCAAATAGTAAATAAAATATAAACATCAAGAAAACAATTTGGCTAGTGATCTCATATAGTATCATCACATTCACAAAACTTGGTTTCCAAAAAACAAAAGAATTCACTTATCACCTGTACAATCACTCATGTAAGATCAAAATCGAATATTTACTACTCTGATCAAGAAAAACATACAAAACTCATCGAAAACAACAAATTGCATGCGTGAACCTTACGCAATATGTTTGATGGTGATAAAATCAAGAAAACAATTTATGTAATTTATTAAATTAAAATAGAATAATTATTTTTTATAACAAGATATATCATTTGAAGTTTTCGTCAAAACAATTAAAATGACACCAAATAAAAAGTTTATGTGGTTTTCTATTTTTTTTTCTCTTTTCTACATTATTTATTATTATTAATATATAATAAATTACATAAATTAATAAAGATATAGAAACTGTATAAAAATAATATTTTGAGAACAGTAAAATGAAAGTTTAAAAAACATAAAATACAATAAATAAAATTTAACGAATGAATAAAATGTAAAAGAAAAATCTATTTGATGTTTTAGAAGAGAATTAAGTTTTATTTTGAGGTTATATTGGTAAAATATAAGTCTGTTTCACCATGTTCTATGGGGTAGGGGTGGAACATACCTGTTCCACATAAAATTTATGCCAAACATGAGACAGGGATCCCTGTCCAGTGTACCAAACACACCCTTAACGGAGAATAAGTCAAAGATGAGTAAACTTTTTATAGAGATTTTGACGAAAAATATGGTGGAGATGTTAACATTGCTAGTTTGTGCTACATGGGAGTCGCACATGTTTCGAAAAATATGTTTGAATCTCTCTACTTTTGAACATGAGCTCTCATGGAAGGGGTCAAACGTTGAAATATTCAAGAGATTAATGTAAACACATCTTTTAAAACCGAATTGTAGAAAATTCTTTGTTTTTTTTTGGGATCATCAGTAGTTGGTGGATCTATGGGGGCAACATGAAATCACCCTGGCACATATCTCTAATGCATCTTGTATCACTACAAGGATACTCGTGCAATGCAGTGAGATACATCTTCATTTTAGTATTTCATTTTATTTTTTGTCTCTATTAATATAATACAGTTTATATGGTTTTCAGAAAAAATATTGTTTTTACTTTTGAGTAAATTTAAGGATATCATAAAAATTTGAAAAAATATATCGATATTAATATAAAATTAACTATTTAAAAATTCCTTTTTTTATACAATTTCTTTAATTGAACTTTTTATTGTAATTCAATTTGAGTCTAATAACGAAGTAATTTATTTTTGACTTAACAATATAATTTTTATAAAGATAATAATTATGTTAAAACTCAATGATTATCCTAATTATATTTTAGATCTTTTTATTTAAAATTAGATGTTTATCCTATATTTGATTATGTTTATGTGTAATTAGTTATAAGAATTCAAAAATGGAGCTTTAATAAATTGTATATGCACACAATTTACTTGTAATCTTAAATCTTAAGTAATATGCATTGATAAATAGTACTTTATGTAAAAAAATGATTTTTAATAGTTTTTGTCAAATACTTTATAATATAGTATAAATAATCATGCAAGAGGAAAACTCAAAATGAGATTTACAAGTCGATGATTTCCTTTTTCTTTTTATATATAATAAGTTTTATTTCTCATGTTCATGTACATTACAAACAAAAGACGAATAAGAATGCTAAGATACTTGGATTCATCACAATAGGGGTTTAAAGATACACCAAATCAGTAAATTTTATGCAAGATCTTCACCAATTACAAGGGGCATATTAGATATTTTACTATACTCGACACTACCTTGTAGCTCAATCTCTTCACCATGACTCTTCTTGCACTCGAAGTAGAAAACTGCGTATGCCTGTAACTCCAACACAACTAACAAACAAATACAACTCATGAGAAAGAACTGAAGGAAGGCCTGAGTCAACTCGGTTCGTATCCCGGCGCTTCTCTTTGATAACACATGATAGAAAGCATATGCTAGAAGGTTGAACATAAGGTTCAGAGAAAACCCTTCCAACTTGTTGCCTTTAACAAGCTTCCCAGCTTTTCCTAATGCCTCGATTCCGGAACACTCTTCTAGCACCGAGATCACCGAGGACATGAGCCAGACAACCGACAAATATAGGTAGAGGATCACGAGAAAGATCATTAGAACCCATAGTATCACCTTTGACACAATCTTGTGCCCGGAAAACATTATGGTAGGAACCATTAACGTGACAAAACCGAAGTAAATATAGCCGACTCGGAGAAGTGCTACATGAAAACAAGTGATGAATAGCCTTGTTGAAGACCGTGGCACCCTTACCATCAAATCATTCACATAGATTTTCTTGCTTTTGTAAGAAGCTTCGGTTAGAAAAATGATTGCAGTTTGGGCGAAAAGAGATGTCAAGAAGAGGGCTAGAAGGAAAGCGAGTTCGATGCCTAACAAGACTTTGATATCTTTTAGGATGCTAGCTAGATCCTGTGAAAAAGGAAGGCCCCGTGGATCTAGAGACGCTAACTGAATAGATTTCGTGCTGAAATCAAATATGATAGGTTTGATCGTAGATATGTTCCACACGTAGAAAACGGGAGCGATGATCAGGTAGATCGAGGTTACAATTGCTAGAAGTCTACCATTTTTTAACATAATCTTGATTGATTTCTTCAAGATTCCAAGAAACCCAAAAAGCTTATTGAATTCCATTTGTGATCTAAAGTATTTTCTGTGATAAAGATCCACCAAGTCTACACATTTTATATAGGGATGATCGAACTTTGCTTTGAATAAGTCTATATATATATATATATATATATATATATATATATAAACTTTGGATCATATGAGACCCGCCTGTTTTCGTGAGATATGTGATACCATTTTTTTACACTTGAAACTTCACGGTAAGACACCATAGTGTTTTTGTTGTGTGGATTTTTTACCTTCATAATGTTTTGTTGTGAAGTTTCAAGTGTAAAAACATGGTAACTCAACCAAAAGCATACACACTCTCTCTCACACACACACACACATATATATATATATATATATATAAGTATCGTTAAATAATTAACCATCCTTGATTGTTGAAGCTAATTAACACTGAAGTTCTATTTGTTGCTCACTGAGTGAACACAGTGAGTGATGGTCAGGGCATTTCCAATGGATGACACTCTATCAGAGTGTCATGGACTGCCATATCAACATTCCACTCACCATACAACTCTATCATTTTATACCCACACTCCATAACACTCCATTGAGTTTAATGGATTTCCACATCATATATATATATATATATATATATATATATATTATCTATAAATATAATTTTACCAACAAATTTAAAAATCTACTAAAAACAAGGAATAATACATTAAAATGAAAATGAAACGAAATTAAAATACATTTAATAAAAAATACGAGACTAAAATATATCAGTTAAAAAGTACCAAAACTAGAAAATGAAATGCTTAAACACCAAATAATTTAAAACTAGAAAATGTAATATCTTATTAATGTAATGTATTTTGAAATTAATGTAATGTTTTTTTAATTATGTTGTTTTTATAAATTAAGAAAAATAAAAATAAAAATAAAAATAAAAATAAAAATTAATTTATTGATTAATAAGTATCATATTATAGTATATATATATATATATAATATCATAATTAAATCCTTACAAATTTAATTATAAAAGAAAAAATAAATTAGTGGGTCCCATTGACCTCCCCATGATGCGTACAATGGCCATTAACCTCTATTCCATTAACCTCCATTCACAATGCATGATGCATGTAATGGCTCTCATTAACCTCCCCGTTAACCTCCATTGGAGATGCTCTCAGATGCGGAACAAAAACTCACCCAGAACGTTATTGTCAGGAACTAACCTTCCTGGAACCCACCTTGGATATTTTCATATGCGACCAAGTCCATGACTATCACCAATCAGAGGAAAATTAGATCATATATTATTTTATAAATTAAATTGCATTATCCAATCTTATGGGCAACGGTTGATTAATTCTGACTTTATCAATCACAAAATGTTTCATGAAACTGATACATCATCTCGATGACTTAATCAATATAGCAACAATTCGGTAGACTCTTGGCCTAAATTTGAAGCCTTTTTACGAATGGCTCTAAATTCTAATGAGACAAGAGACTTAGAAGATTAAACCAACCACCATCGTGAAAGAAAGGTTACGACAATGGTCTTTTGGGAATGAATTCTTCATGTTAAATTAGTAGCTAATTCAATTGGTCAAAACATTAAATCACAAGCTTCGTTATAGCATAATTGATTTATAGGATGTCAAAAATGTCTAAAGTGTCATTAATAAATTGATTTATATATAACTCAAGTTTATAAGTCAAAATAATTGTACATCATATGTAAAAACGTTGTAATAAGTTTATAAGACGTTTTTGGAAGACTTACAAATTTTTTTAGGGCACTTCTAAAATAAAATGTCTAATTAATTTTCTTATGTCATCATTTGAAAAAATATCCTATAAAAATGTGTTAATAGGACACTTCTTTAAAATGTCATCCAAAAAAAACTAAAACAACCCTTTTATTGTTAAATTTTTTTTCATAAAAAGAACTTGTTAAAACGTCCAAAAATGTCATATAAACTTATCGCAACATTTTTTTTATGTAAGACGCACAGTTGTTTGGTTTTATTAAAATTAAATAAACTTACATCTCAAACTGACACATGATCTTTCAAAAAAAAAAAATGAAAGCCAATGATGATTTATTTGTTTTGCATAAAATTTTAAAAACAATTATCGACATTTTCAGAAATAATATTTCTAAACGATTTTTGATAAATATAATTATTACTCCTTCGATTCAAAAATAAGTGTCTACGATGAAAAATATACACAGTTTTAGAAAAGTGTAATTATTACAGTTTTAATAAATTAAATGAAAGTTTTATCATTAATAACATAAGAAGTAATTAATTCATCGATCTTATAATTAAGGGTAGAGTGAGAAAATATGTACTTGTTTTTTAAAAGTGGACACTTCTTTGATTTGGGATAAATTAAAATAGTAATGTAAACACTTATTTTAAGACAGATGAAATAATAAAAATAAAATTTGTCAGGAACTTGCTTGACCAAATTGGTTAACCAACATAGATATTTTGCACATAAAATTCAAAGGATCCAATACTAGGGTACCAAATGAAAAAAAGTTAAGATCAAGAGCAAAATTGGAAACCTAAATAAAATAGAAGGACTTGTTCTGGATGGTTTGGAAACTTAGAAAATGGGTGGATTTAATGAAAGTGGGTGGAGATTCCCGTTCGGGGTGGCCGGTCACCGGCGTGGCCCCTACTCTCTCCGTCACTGTGTTTATGGGCTTGAACTCGTGATTGATTAACTTATTTATTGGTTCGAGAATATTTTTTCAATGTTTTTATCTGAATATATGAGAATGTTTGTTACGAAAAAGCGTGTATGATCGAATGGTTTGGCTTGATTCGAAAATTTTAATAGAGCTTCTGAACGAGTTGAGTCGAACATTGGTGTTATGAATATTGACTCGTTAAATTACTGAAAGGGGAAGAGTTTCCCCAGGCAAATTTATAAAGACAGTAAAAAGTGTCACCGATACAAAGCAATCAACAAGAAAAACTACGGCAACTTTGACTCACAAACCAAGTCATAAGAAGCCAAAAATGACAAAGGGAATTACACCAACACATAAGAAAACCAAAAGCCAAAACGCAAAGGGCAAGAAAAACCCATAAGAGCCAAAACCAAGAAAGCTCACCACCCACGAAATCACCCAACATTGGAATTTTTAAGCTTCTTCCTTGTCTTCCAAGCCATCCGATGAAGAATCTGCATCTTGATTTCCTCAATAACTTTATCCCCCGACTGATTGAAWTTGTCAAAGAACTTCCTGTTCCGTTCCCTCCAAATATGATATACCGTTGCCGAGATACCAAGTTTTTGAACCGTAGACCAAGATTTCCAAGTTGACTCGTTAAATTAAACGGATTCAATTTTGTGTTCGAGATGACTCGAGCTCGAGAATTATCTTAGCTTGAGAATTATCTAGCTCGAACTCGAGATAAACGAGCTCGAGTAGCTCATTAGAATTTCGACTTGTTTACATCTCTAAACATGGTTGTAAGTTGACGAAAGACAAGACTATTGACATAATCGTATGAGTTATCCATTTGCTTGAAAGGTTATTATGAATTTTTGACTGGATGTACCTTTAAGGTTCCTTCTGGTCTCGGAGGGCCCTCGCTCTAAAGGGTTGATGGCAGCTATCCTGATCAAAGATCTGTAAAGTTGCTGTTTGATTCATGGGGAAAGTCAACACAATTGGACACAAGAAAAACTCAATTATGTCGATTTGGGGAATAAAATACATTTTTTCCAATTAGAATTGACCTTGTTCTTTAAAATAAATAAAGATGAATTGGCATTGAAAAAGAAAAAGTATCGTGGAAAAAATAATAAAATTTGGGAGAAAAATTAACAAAAAAATTTCTTGGCATAATGGTAGTAATGCTCATAACTGTTAGGGGCTGTTTGGTTCATGGATTTGGATAGAATTGAAAGGAATTGGAATGACCAAATTCTAAATACAATGTTTGGTTCATGGAATAAAACTGATGGAATCTTTTCAAATTCAATATATTTTTAACTCGTAGATTTTACATTCCACGACAATACCCTCTGTAACATCCAATTTCTAATATGCCCAATTATTTGCTTAGTATATTTAATTATTGGGTTAAAGAGAGCTTATGATTTAGTGAGAGTTTAGGTTTGAAGCTTTAAAATTTTATTTCTTAAGAATATATTAGAGGATTTGGAAAATATCATGTCAAATGGATACGTAAAACTGATTTTTCTTGGGAGATATTTTCTGGAATATTTTTGTTGGATGTTGTAGATTATCTCTTTATGATCGTGTAGGCGAAAACCTCATAGAAAACGGAGTTCTGAGCGAAAAGTTATGAATATTTTAAGTGTTGATGGTCAAAATGGGTTCCTAGCCGGGCCAACCCGGCCCAACTCGAGTTTTAGCACTATAAATTGGAGATTTGACCCATTTTTCTTGTCATCTAAGTCCAGAACTCACACACACTCTAGAGGTAAGATTTTCACACACATAGGCTTGATTCAACTCAAATCAAAGAGGAACTACAAGATCTTTGAAGGATTTGATCATCAAGTAAGGTATAATCCATTCTTTGCACTTGTTTATGGTTGATATCCTTGTTTTATGGGTTGCATGTTGAGATAAAGTTAGGCTTTCATATGGGTCTGATTTTAAGTATTTAAAATGAGTGCATTTTAGTGTTTTTGGCATGAAATGGTCATTAGATTCAAGAGATTATCAAGATTTATGCAAGTTCATCATATGAACTTTGACTTGATTAAGTCAATGATTTGGGAGATAATATAAATGATAAAATAAAGGTTGGATTTTGTTTGTTTATGTCAAATATGTTATATTAAGTTGAGATTCAGAAGTTGGAATGGTTTGGAATCGAAATGGTTTGAGAAAAATGTATGAAAATGAGAATTTCGACTTTTGAATGCTTTGAAAGTGTGCAGACTTTGAAAAYATGTAGAAAATCGTAGAAAAATCCAAATCAGGTGAGGCCAATTTCTTTAGTTAGATATTTGAGTCTAGTTTATTTCTTATTTTATAATCAAGGCATGATTTCGAGCTTAA